ATGTGTAGGGAACGAGTCAAGGGTCGACCATGGAAAAAGAGCAGAATGTCGCGCGAGCTCGATGGCACGCGGTTCCTCTCGAAAAGTACCCTCTCCGATTAAGTGGATCGGAGTAATTGGTTAATGATTGCTCTCCTTGGCCGACGATCCGTTCTTTCTTCTCCCGAATCGGTCCAGTTACACGTCTTTATTTTATTTTCAAATGTTCTTCATAAAATATCAGTCGATAATATTTCAGGATAAAATAAAGACGTGTAACTCGAATGTATATATCAGTTATGAAGAAATGTTGTGAAGAATATTTCAGAATAAAATAAAGACGTGTAACTCGAACGATATATATATATATATTAATGTTGCGTTATTGAGAGACAGATAGAGGGGGAACGTAAGAAAGTGTTAAATCAATCTTTTACGAGTTAATAGAGACAAATCCGCTTTGCGTAATCCGATCGCGTAAAATTACGAAAGCGCAAAGCTCGTCGGCGTGAAATTGAAAATGAACGGAACGGAGGTGATTGAGAATATATAGAAAATCGCGATGCCGGATGCGAGCTACTTATCGACGCTCGTCGATCTTAATGACAATGTGTACCTCTCTCGTCGCCCACCGATAGACAAAGCGTGTCGCAACACAACACGCTCCGACGTTTTCCTCTCTCGCTCTTTCGCGCGCCAGCTGATTTATCGACGTGCCCTCGAATTATATGCTCTCGACGCCGCGCCGGTCGGCTTTCACCGACGACATCGTGCCCCTTTTGTCTCCTCGAAGGGGCGCTTTCGACACATCGGCCGCGCCAATTGTTTTCGCCTCTAATCGCGAACATATCGATATGCGTAACGACGCGATCGACAGCGCGGCGGTCCTTCGTCGTGTCGCTTTATCGCGCTCGTAACTATACTTTGCTAAGGAATGCGTGCCGTCTGCAAAAATCGATGCCGATCCGATCGGAGATACCACGCGAATGACCGGTTTTTCATTCGAGAGACTGCAGAGAAAATTCAGCGACTTGGACAATTTCGAATTTATATTTCACATCGAATATTAAAATTGTCGATGCGCGTTAAAGAAAGAAAGCTGTCAAAAGAGATTGTTCCTTTTTAATTTTTGAAAAGCGCTCTTAATTTTTACCGCGAAGTAATGCTGTGTAAATCGTCGAATTCCGTAATGTTCCCAAGATTCTCCGTTTTCTCGATCCCTAGCCTAGCGGTTTCGCGGCCTGTTCTAAACCGGCCTGCGATTAACGCTCGCAATTTACGCGCGGAAGCCGCCGCGACGCGACGTGCACTCGAAATGATTTATACGCGCTCCGTCTCTGTACGTGACGCGTCGTTTACCACCCGCTTTCCAGCGAAGATTAATTAACCCCGTGGCGTTTCGAGAAAGAGAAAGAAAGAAAGAGAGAGAGAAACGTGCTCCGCCTGGAGCGTACCTCGTGGCCCCGCCGGCGCTTCGGTTTCTTAATCCAATTTCGTGGTGCATTAATCTAATTATGCCTAGGCATATGCACGTGACGTGCAGCTATGCCGGCCACAGTGCTGGACCACCGCTTTCGTAATGCAAAGGCGCCCGGACGTCGGCGAAGCTGTCGAGTAGGCGAGAAACCTCCGCATGAGGTGCTCCAGAACTGTCGAAGAGAAATAGATAGCTAGATGAAGAGAGAGAGAGAGAGAGAGAGAGAGAGAGGATATTTTAAAGATAGATTTTCTTTCAACGTGAAGCAAATTTGCATCTTAGAAAAGAAATCATTTAAATGCGAAGAAGGAAAAACGATACATTTTTTGTGAATTTGAAGTTGAGAAACTTTAATTGAAAAATTTCTTAAATTTTAAATAGAAAAAAAAATATTTAAAACAAAAAAGTAATGCGAATAAAATATAAGGCTTTAAACGAAATAATTAAACCTTCTCTTCTTACAAAAATGTTTTTAAACGGTATTAAATTAAAGTGCACGACTTATAAGCGTCTATCGAAAAATTATTATTGCAAGCGGATCGCGAAGTCATCCGAGTCTTGATTCTAGACGGGTTGCTGGGGAAACTTTCGCTTCGACCTATTAGCGGGCACTAAGTTTCACATTAATTACATCATCTGTTTATCGGTTTCATAATAAGGATCACTCTTGGATGTAACCGCGGAAGTTCACGTGCACGCTCGCGCGAATAAAGTATCCAGGGAGAAAGAAGGAATAAGAAAAAAAAAAAATAAACGAGGGAAGTGAGCGAAGCAGTATGTCGAATAACTTCCTAGAGGCGCGCCTGTCACGAAGCCCCGGGTCATTGGTCACCTCGTTCTTATCTCGTATTGTCTGCGGCCCATCTTATGCACGGTGCCGTTGCGCGATTCACCGTAAATGGAATTAATTCATCTATCAGCTTCGGGGATTATATATAGGAGTCGGTCGGGAGGAGTAAGAAAAGTCTTATCTTTGGGAAACATTTTTCGCCGACAGTTATCTCGTTATTAGTTATCGAAACAATTAATCGGGATGATTGCATTGGTTCATAATTATATAATAGTAATACTTAATAATTGATTACATTTCTAGGCATTATAATATATATTCTAAGAAACTATAAAATTTCTATTTGTTAATCATATATGTGTATATAGAGAATCATATAAGGATTTGCTCTCTTAATAATTATCCGCAACTTTCTCCACCAACGTTATGCAAAGTTGCATCAACTCAAAATTAAAAAAAAATTGCATTGCATATTTGAAATACAATTTATCCTAAACTGCTATTGGATTATTTTATTTTTGTGTAACGCCGTTGAATTCTCGCTTATATAGGTTTTACGAAAGAAAAAGAAATTTAATGACAGAGACGAATCGTCGTCTGCGAGCAAAATATAGTCTCGAATGCTTCTTCTATCCAGACAGAAGCGCATTAAAACTTTGATGCAGCTGTGAAACAATGCGCTTTAAAAGTTGGAGAGCGATTCGCGCGGAATCGTTTAATCCAGATTATCATGTACCGAGTCACGACGTTACTTTTCCTCCAAAAGAGATTCTCTCTGGAGAAATCCGAAACAATCGTCGACACGCCCACCCACGTACACCTATACACAGCTTGATGTACGCTTCGTTAGGTAACGGGCAATAATGTGTTTCGTCGGGCGCATATCATCTTAATGTAACGTGATAATCGTGAGCTATTGTGGTTATAAACTACTACGAGAGCGAGTCTCGTCAATATCGACAAATCCGCTTCGTAAAGCATGCAAACGTTCTCTTATTAGAATTGCATATGTATTGACGAATCTTTATTGTAATTTTAATGGTAATTTTCTTTTAATTATAACGTGATATATTTCAGTTCTTCTTTTTGTCACGGTAAAAAGTTATACAAGTAGTATAATTAAAAAAAAAATTGATAATTAAAAATGATATAGTAAATATTTTATTACGAGTTTAATAATTAATTATATTTTATTGTATAGTTTAATAGTAGAAATTCAAATGCGGCAAAATTATATGTTGCAATTTTATAAATGCAATTTCCGCTTATTATTTCATCATTCACGCCGTAAATATAGTTTTGATATATAATAGAGGTCGTATTAAACTTTTTACATTATTTTACGAACCAGTTTACTTTTTTTGTCGCCATTCGCTGACCGTTTCCGTGTCGATCGACGCAAGTCGTGAAATCATTTATCCGTAATATCCGTGGATCGCGCATGACGATTAGACCATTACTTTTCATAGATAAGACTCTTTTCGGAGAGATCCTCGAAACAATCGTAGACACACCCATCCATGTACAATATATGCAAATCTATCGTGTCTAGTTAGATAGCTCGCAACAATGTTCCGGACTGTGTCGCGTAAATATCCATAGCGTATCTGTCATTCGTCGCACTATTACAACAAATTTCCCTGAGTCTTCACTGTTATATTTGAGAATAAATTTGAGAGAGCACGCTAATTTATTCTCTTCGGCATGTTATTGATCGACCTGATATTTTATACCGAAGAAAGCTATGATCCCATTCTTTTAGGTATACGTTTATAGGTACTTGATCAATTTTGCGCGAGGTTTTCCCTTCATCATTTCCCATCTCATCGTTCTAAATGACGAACTAGGAAGTAACGAAGGCACTGCCCACGATACGTGATTACCTGCCATTCGTAGGTTTTGAGCGGTGACCGCCCTTGCTGCGGAAATTATGAAACCGGTCCGTAATTGAAACTTGACTAATGACACGACGGGTCATTGCGTATATTATTATAGAGCCATGGATTGGCATTAGAGCTCCTCGCGCAGGTACCGGACGCTTCGCGGAACCGCAATAGTGCTCTCCACGTGGGAAAGGATGCATTAAAAGTGCATCAAATGTACGCGCTGGTGGGGAAGTATAGTGGCGAAGCGGTGCCGAAAGGCAAGCATTCGTCTGTCGAAATTAACATGATAAAGGCGGGCATACTTTCGCAACAGAGATTAGCCGTACCAGCTCTCCAGCATAGAAACGCTCGAATGCTAATTATTATCATCATCTACATATTTTACCAGATCTAAAGATGAGCAAATGGGGCGGATATGTAGAGCTAAATTATAGAGAAGATATATACTTTATACATATACATTGCGCACATTTTAGAAAATCATTTCTTATTAAAAACAAATTTATTTTAATAATTCTATATACAAATTCTAATTGTAAGAGAAATGTCTCTCCGTGTATATTATATTATTATTTATTTCATTTATAATATTAATTATAAATGAAATAAATAATAATATAATATACACGGAGAGAATTTTCTCTTACAATTAGAATTTGCCCTGAAAATCAAAATTTGATTATGTACAGGGTAAAATGAATCGAACAGTGTAGACATCAATAATTTCTATCGTGGCAAATCTTAATCGGAGAAACTCTTATAAAATTTCTCCAATATGATACATCGCGAATAATTTGTAATATAATAATATTAATCGTTCATTTTGAAATGAGCACCACTCAAAGCGCGCTCGTCCTCGTGTCCGCAGATGGAGCATAGAGGCGCGCCTTGCGGGCAGCAGGAGCAGCAGTAGCGTCCGTCGCTATATCGTCGGAGGGAGACCTGATCCGATCTCGCGCCCGTGGAGGACGCGGGATCGCGCGGGTGCTGCCGAGGCCGTCGACCGCGATGGCCGCGACCGACGGTCAGATCATCGTCGCGGCGGCACGCTGGGCCGAGGAGGCGACGTATCTGCGCGAGTTCGTCTCCAAGTATCGCCTGCCAGCCGTGATCAAGATCACCAAGGGCCAGTACGGCGGACTGGGCGTGCCGACGCTACCGGCCCCGAGTTTGCAGAGCACGGCGTTGTTGATCTCGGCCGGTCGTCGCCGTAAAATCGTGGCGCAGGCGGTGAAGATCAAGGAGGGCCGCCGGGTGGTTGGCGTCGGGCCGAGACTCGCGATCCCGGACTCGTACGCGGGTTACTTCGAGATCCTGAGCGAGGAAGGTCGCGCGGTACGCGGCATCGAGTCGGTGAACGAGCTGTCACGCAGATGTCCGGACGAAGGCGCCCTGGTGCGAGAGACGGTGCGCGCCATCGCCTGTCGGGTGGACGACGATTCTGGGATCGTTGTTCCGGAAGGTACGAGGACCCTGGCAGCCGGAGAGACGATCGTCACCGCCGGGGAGGTCGCGTTACCCGGTCGCGGTCGATTTCTCCGCTGCGTGGACTGTCGCGGGGATAGCGTGCTCCTAGGGATGGATCAACGCGGTCGCTTCAGCGCCCTGGCGCGCGAGGACAACATCAGTGGGGTGCACACCGCGAAGGCGCTTCTCAGCAAGCGTCTGCCGCTCACCGTGAGACTGGTACACGGCCAGCCGCCGCGGGGGCTTAAATCGTCGTCGCAGTTCGTGCCCGAGTTGAGGCTGCTGTCGACCTTCGAGGAGGAGCACGTGTTCGCGCTCCCGTTGCAAAGAGAAGGCGCGGCCGTCGCGCTACCGCTCGCGGCGCCGCTCAAGCTGGTGAAGGCTCGGAACGAGGAGGCTCTGAGATCGATGCAGGAGTTCACGAGGCTGGTGGAACGCGCCTCCCGTTTGGTCGCCGACGTGGCCGATCGAGCGCACGTGCTGGACGGTCGTCTCGGCGAGGGCAAGTCCTCGAGGCAGAGAAGCGGCTCGGGTTTTCTCAGGAGACCGTCGACCAACTCGGATCACGCGCCGTTGGCTCATCATAGAAACAGCAGCAGCGCCGGCCATCATCATCACCATCATCACTATCACAGCAGCAACGGCCATCAGGTGTCTTCCGGTCACTCGGGTTATCGGGACGAGAACAGGATACCGCAGTCATCGTCCGCCTGCACGGAGGAGTACGACGAGATCGATCAGATATATGATTACGTTCGCGGTTTCGCGCCGTTGCCGAAGAGCGTTAGGTCGCCGTACGAGAGTCCGCTTGTTCCCGGAGGAGGTCAAGGTGGCTCGACCCCGCCCTTGACGCCGGTCACGGTGACGATCGCGCCCTTGCTCGACGATCGACCGGAACCGCCGCCGATCGAGACGATACCGACCAAGAAGATCCAGGCGGAGAAGCGGACGAGGCGCGCGGTCAAGGAGGCGCCGCAGCCGCGGCTGGAGAAGCCGCCTCTGGCGAAGCTCTACGTGAAGAACAGCGGCACTCAGCGCGGACGTCCGTTAATGAGGCAGAAGAGCGCGTCGCCGTTGAAGGAAACGCCGCCGGGTTACAAGGGCGGTTCGCCGCTCTTCAATATACGATACAAGAGCCTGACGAATCTTCAGCAGGCCATGGAACTCGACGGCACCCTGGACTCGAGTCACTCGGGCGGAAGGACGTCGGGAGATTCCGGCGCGGGCGCCAAGTTGCCGGAGAAAAGGTACGTCGATCGATTGGATTTTTCAGATTTGCTTTGCTTTCGTTTCAAATTGCCATATCCTCTTTCTCTATTTCTCTAATTCTGTAAAAATAATATTATACACATTTTTTTAACATCTTTTATTATACAAAGAAGTTTATTGAACGATATGATTTTAGAGAAGGCACAACTTCGAAACATATTGTCATTTGTACGTCTTTAATTGTATTACAAATTTATTGAAATTTTGACCTAACTGGCCATAAATGTATGGTTTTACTCATCACTGGCGACTTCATTAATTTTATCGTTATTTAATTATATTAGTTGTCAAAATAGCGTGTTGATAATTCACGTTTGATGAATTCTAGATCGAGACGTTTAAGCAGACCGCGATCGTTGACGAATTTAGTCTGGGAGCTACGAGGTGGAAGTGGTCTTGGTTGCACGAGACCGGAAACTCCGCCGCCTGTCACGACTGCACCGCTGCCACCGACTAAATGTGGGCCACGTCTAGCTGTCACTGTCGTAGCACCGCGACGTGTCGGCACGCTCTACCTCTAACTCGTGAGTGACATTATTTTTTTTCAATCTTCTCGTCTTGGATATTCTGCATTCTTCGAATAACACATGTATATTCTTGGCGCAAGAGAGAAAAAATATGCGAAAGAGAAGCAATTTTGTTGTTTCACGTGCATATAGATATTATGCGGGAGATTGTGGGATCGCAAGTGCGCTTTTACAAAATAAAAAGCATTGCGCAACTAATTGTAAGATCAACTTCCGTTGTATATCTTGAGGAAAAATTGCAAGCTGTGCTCTCGAATTGAAACCTCGCGTGCGCGGCTATTTTCTGAGCCGTTCTTCTTCTTCTTCTTCTTCTTCGTGCGAGCGATCTTCGTTTCCCGTATTTCAGCCAGATGATACGCCGCCGAGCGGCAAGTCTATTTGTCGAACGGGCGGACATGCACATTGTAATTAACTATGTCGATGAAATACCGGTTACGACGTAGTTACAGAGCGTACTTTGGCCGAGGAGGGAGGACTGAATCGTTAAATTCGCGGGACCGATCTCTTGGATGTAGGCAGGATGATCTTTCAACGGGGCGTTTTACTAGACATTATAAGAAACGCGCAACGCTCTTTACTTCCCTATTGCCATAAGTTCTTATTCATTTAATCGCTCCCCCTCGCCGTTCTCGATAATCACCAACGACGTCTAGGAAATGCACCTGTCCGCGAACGATTAAGGAAGTTCTTGCGATTATTGCCAATTATACAATCCACGGATAGATCCATTCTTAATCGCGTATTCGGATGCGGAGACACGCAAAATCATCTAATTTTTTTTTTTTTCTTTCTACATTTACCATGTACACATCGCGATTTAATAAACACAGCAAATTATTTTGACAGATTTTTTCCAATCTATATAATTTGAACAAAATTGTTTCTTAAAATGTTGAATCGACCACGACGAGAGACTCAACGACGTGTTACGACAGACTTACATCATGAAGCGGATATTGTCAAACCGGTTAACGTACGATATTGCACGCGTATATCAAGTGTCTCGTATAAAATGAGATGCGGCGAGGATGTAATTTTCTTGGACGCGATCGTCTCGCTCATTTCTCCGTCCGCTAATCCGCCGATGATAATCGACAGCGACAGCGAGAGATTGAAAGCGTTTCTTTCGTCACGGGTCTGGTTCTGCATCGTACATACACGTACATGCATGCATGCATGCATCGGGCGACAACGAGGCATTTGCGGGAGGAAATTAAGAATCGCGCTAAGCTTCCTGCCGTGCGCATCCGCAATCCAGTCGGGAGAAATACCGATCGGTATTTCTCAGTCGTGGAAATTAGCGAGGTTTACGTGGGTTAATCTCTCTCTCTCTCTCTCTCCGTACAGCCTGACTTCTCTCCTTTTTCTTCCTCTCGTTCTCTTCGGTCGCGGGTGCCATTTAGCAGACGACTAAATGCCTCACCTTCACGAGAGGGCGGCTCTCGGCTCGGTGGAAACTCGAGACCGAGGACGGAGAGAAAAAGGAGGAGGAGAGATAGTTCAACGGTGGACAGCCTCCGGGTATATAACATCATCCGTGCTCGGTGCAGCGCTATAATAGCCCCGGTTCGCTTCGCGGTGCCGCTCCGTGAGCGGAATTAAACGAGACCAGGTTCAACGGCTGGACACAAACCGTGGCTTCCGGTCCCATCGCGCGCGTCCTGTCCACCGCCCGCTTGCTCGACCACGTATTATGAAAATTATGATTGTACGAAGGGCGCGCAATTTCATCGATCGCGCCGTACAAAGCGAACGACTTCCGATAACGCAATCGGCGACGATCGTACATCCGGCGCGGCCGGATCGTTTGTAATCATATCTGATAGCGTGGAGAATTTTTTTTTCAGAATTTATATTATATATCCTCTGGAAATTATGTAATCGTGGGACAATATGGTATTGGAAGAATTTTATAAGAGTTTCTCTGATTGATATTTACCGCAAGAAAAAAATATTAATATGTGTACATAGTAGAAAATTATTTTACATCTTATTGTGGTAAATATTAAATTTTATTTACCAAATTTTTTTTTTTTTTTGCATGGGAATGAGTACCAGAGTTTTTATCGTAACTGGAAATAACAGAGAAAAATTGTCGTCCACCAATAATGAAAAATTTATATTTCTTTGCACTCCGATTTTTTTTGTTTTTTTTTTTGCATGGGAATGAGTATCCAGAGTTATCGTACGAAATAAGAGAAAAATTGTCGTCCAGCTGAAAATATTCAATAATGAAAAATTATATATTTCTTGATGCACTTTTTAAAAACATAAATCGTACTTGTTTTGGTTCATACACTGAATTTATAAGAGTTCCTCTGATTAAATATTTACCACAATGAAAAATATTAATATGAATATAGTAATATTTATATCTTAATGTGATAGATATGATAAAATTCTTCCAATATCATATTGTTCCAGGATTATCATGATTTTCAGGATAAATTCTAAGAGAAAATTCTCTCTGTATATGCATGCTATACTACATTCGTGAATAGATCGAGTACGGATAATTTCTTTGATAATATTTTTGCACACTAAGTGGTTCAATATATTCAATACTTTTAAATGTCAACATTCGAGAGATCTCTTTCCTGATAAGTTTTAGATAAAAATTCTTAAAGAGAGTCTATGCAGTTTCTCACACGCATATACAAACGCACGCCTGCGTTAACCATAATTTAACCGAGTCTCTCTGCCTCCTTCCAGTTTATAACTGTGTGACTATAATTTGACAGGGAAGGAAGATTTAGTTAGAGAACTACGATTAGCGCGAGAGAGCGATTAACCCGAACGAAACTGGCCGGCGAAACCGGACTGCGAGCGAAAAGAAATTCATACGTGGGAAAATACGCGCGATGATTCCGCAACGAGAGCGGGTTTCGTATAAGAAGAAGGAAGGTTCAGGCCGCGCGTTTCTCTCATCAGTCGCTCACGTTTGCATCCCCACTCTTTCACCTGGACGATTAAAGCTGAAAATTCAGATCTCGCGGCACGAACTTGCGGTTTTCTCTCTACGTAACATTAATTTCGGCGCCGCCTTTCTTCGGCTCGCTCGCGTATTCTAAATTACCCGGCCGTTCTTGTCACTTGCGGCTATCCGCAAGAGAATCGTCGCGCCATTTTCACGTATATTTTATAATGCCCGTAAACGCCACGCTACGAAATTACCAGCTGTCTCTTGGAACGAAACGAGGGTGCTCGCGTCTCGTAACCGTCTCCCTCGGCCGCTAATTAATTAACGCGGATCGAGAAATTACGATATTCCCTCTCTCTCTCTCTTTATCTCTCCGCACGCGTTGCTCTTGGTCCCTCCGAAGTGAACATCCGGTGATAAAAGACACGTTAAAAGTCGCGTCACGGGGAGAAGACTGGGAGAGAATCATGCCGATAATTAGAAAGTAATCGCGACCAGTGTCCTGGCGTAGAAGAAGAGAAGAGAGAGAAAGAGAGACCATTATCTCGAAAATTGCCGGGTGTATGCGCCACCCTGCATCCCCCAAGCTCTCTTCTCGCCTGCGCCTGCCGTCGACGACGTTGATTAATATCAACGAATTCCTCCGCGCGTTCGTGTGATTACGCTCGTGGCGATATCCACCGAACGGCTATACGTATATGGGTATATATACGTCGGTTAACGCCCGTGCTTGCATGACGTGCGACGACGCGACGCGCCGAGCCAAGACTGCCGGCGTCTCTCGGCCGCGTAGATATCGCGTCTCTCACGGCCGCGCGCCGATAATATTAAAGCCGATCTATATTCATCGGACGCGCGCTCCCGTTCGCCGGAGATTCCGAGCTCGCCAACGAGTTCGACGTTTACGATCATCTTCAAAATTGCTAGGCGTCCTTGCTTCGTGCCGCGGACGTAGCCCGCGTAGCTCTTCGCTTGTTAGAGTGTTTCGAGAGGCACGATCGAGGCGATCGTGCCTTCAAGAGCGTCGTAATGCAAACCCGACTCGCACGATTTATACGAGATTTCATCCGCGCCTGACGCAACATCTGTGTGATGTAGCTGGGATAACTTGGGGAAGTGTAGAAAAATCATTATTTTACTTCGAGCGATATTAAGGAAATTTTCTACAAAATTTTTCAAGTTTGATTTTCGTTCCTCGTACAGTTTAAGTTTTCATATTTCACACTATGCAGGGTGTATCTGAGTGCGGAAAATTTTAGATGATTCTTTGTTGAAAATTAGTACCTACTCTTATATCCCTCCCTGAGGAGAATTAATTTTTTTTTCCTCAAATTTTAGACAAATTAAAACAATGAAACTTGGATATTTTCCACTAATACAAAGTACATTTATTAATATTTTTTTTTAAAATAATTTTTATCTCCCTCTTTGTTGAAAATTAGTATCTACTCTTATATCCCTCCCTGAGGAGAATTAAATTTTTTTTTCTCAAACTTTAGACAAATTAAAAAAATGAAACTTGGATATTTTCCACTAATAAAAAGTACATTTATTAATATTTTTCTAAAAATAATGTTTATCTCCCTCTTTAGAAAAGTGTAACTCCTCAGAGAGGGATACAAGACTCTGTATATATGAGAGAAAAAATTTTCTATAATTATAATAATTTTGTATCTCGTCTATTTGCTGTAAATGAACGTATGGAGACGTGTTTCGAATGCATGGAGAGTGTGTTTAGCTCGCTGTATTCGAGGCTTTTCGCTTTCTTCTAACCAAAACCATGCATATTTATCGTATCCCCGGTTACATTGCATGCAAATTACGAGCGACGTTCGGCTCTGCGGCCACGTCTCTTCGTTATTCCGTCCCATTGTCTGCCTACATCCTTTCTTCCTGGATAAATGCCGTCCCGACGACGTGTGGTTCACGTGCGTCGCGCTTGTGGGCCCCCGTTCTGAGTCATCCGAGGAATTTTTTCACCTATTTACCGTCGTCTAAAACCATCTACGTACCCGAGATGGCATGTCGAGAGACGACGAGACAACGGCGAGAATGAAAGAAAGAAGTAGGAAAAGAA